GTGTGGAAAGAAATTGTACTTGTACATTCAAAAATTTTAATCTGTGCAAAAGTTTTGTGCTTGTATACTCAAATGTTTTTTACTTTGTAAGTATTTGAATGTACAAATACAAGACATTTTAATTAGTTAAAAACCTTTTCCACACATTCAAACTTTTGAATGTACAAGTTCATGAAATTTGAAAGTACAAACACAAAACTTTTCAACGCATTGAAACGTTAAGTACAAAAATATTGTACATTCAAATGTTTTGTACTTTTTAAACACTTGAATCTACAAGTACAAGACATTTTCACCAGTATTAAAACTTTTTCCAGACATGCAAATATTTGAATGTACAAGTACAAAAATTTTTCGCAAGCACAAAGCTTTTCCACGCATTCAAACGTTAAATACAAAAGTATTGTACTGTACAAGTACAAGACATTTTCACTAGTAATAAAACTTTTTCAGACATGCAAACATTTGAATGTACAATTACAAAACATTTTCGCAAGCACAACGCTTTTCCACACATTCAAACGTTAAGTACAAAAGTATTGTACTGTACAAGTACAAGTACAAGACATTTTCACTAGTAATAAAACTTTTTCAGACATGCAAACATTTGAATGTACAATTACAAAACATTTTCGCAAGCACAACGCTTTTCCACACATTCAAACGTTAAGTACAAAAGTATTGTACTTGTACATACAAATGTTTTGTACGTTTTAAATATTTGAATGTACAAGTACAACACATTTCCACAAGCACAAAGCTTTTACACACATTCAAATATTAATTTTAATTAATTCAAAGTCTTGTACTTGTATATTCAAATGTTTGAATGTCTGGAAACGTTTTGTGCTCCTAAATTCAAATGTTTTGTGCTAGCACATTCAAATGTTTGACTGTGTGGAAAGAAACTGTACATTCAAAAGTTTGAATGCTAGCAAAAGTTTTGTGCATGTACACTCAAAAGTTTGAATGTGTGCAAAAGTTTTGTGCTTGTATAATCAAATGTTTTGTACATTTTAAATATTTGAATGAACAAGTACAACACATTTTCACAAGCACAAAGCTTTTACACACATTCAGATATTAATTTCAAAAGTATTGTACTTGTACATTCAAATGTTTGAATGTCTGGAAACGTTTTGTGCTCCTAAATTCAAATGTTTTGTGCTAGCACATTCAAATGTTTGACTGTGTGGAAAGAAACTGTACATTCAAAAGTTTGAATGCTAGCAAAAGTTTTGTGCATGTACACTCAAAGGTTTGAATGTGTGCAAAAGTTTTGTGCTTGTATATTCAAATGATTTTTACTTTTTAAGTATTTGAATGTTCAAGTACAAATACAAGACATTTTACAAGACATTTTAACTAGTTAAAAACCTTTTTCAGACATGCAAACATTTGAATGTGCAAGTTCAATACATTTGAAATTACAAAGACAAAACTTTTCCACACATTCAAACGTTAAGTACAAAAGTATTGTACATTCAAATGTTTTGTACTTTTTAAATACTTGAATCTACAAGTACAAGACATTTTCACCAGTATTAAAACTTTTTCCAGACATGCAAATATTTGAATGTACAAGTACAAAAAATTGTCGCAAGCACAAAGCTTTTCCACGCATTCAAACGTTAAATACAAAAGTATTGTACTGTACAAGTACAAGTCATTTTCACTAGTAATAAAACTTTTTCAGACATGCAAACATTGGAATGTACAAGTACAAAACATTTTCGCAAGCACAACGCTTTTCCACACATTCAAACGTTAAATACAAAAGTATTGTACTGTACAAGTACAAGTAATTTTCACTAGTATTAAAACTTTTTCAGACATGCAAACATTGGAATGTACAAGTACAAAACATTTTCGCAAGCACAACGCTTTTCCACACATTCAAACGTTAAGTACAAAAGTATTGTACTTGTACATACAAATGTTTTGTACGTTTTAAATATTTGAATGTACAAGTACAACACATTTTCACAAGCACAAAGCTTTTACACACATTCAAATATTAATTTCAAAAGTATTGTACTTGTACATTCAAATGTTTGAATGTCTGGAAACGTTTTGTGCTCCTAAATTCAAATGTTTTGTGCTAGCACATTCAAATGTTTGACTGTGTGGAAAGAAACTGTACATTCAAAAGTTTGAATGCTAGCAAAAGTTTTGTGCATGTACACTCAAAAGTTTGAATGTGTGCAAAAGTTTTGTGCTTGTATATTCAAAAGATTTTTACTTTTTAAGTATTTCAATGTACAAGTACAAATACAAGACATTTTACAAGACATTTTAACGAGTTAAAAACCTTTTTCAGACATGCAAACATTTGAATGTACAAGTTCAAAACATCTGAAATTACAAAGACAAAACTTTTCAACGCATTGAAACGTTAAGTACAAAAGTATTGTACATTCAAATGTTTTGTACTTTTTAAATACTTAAATCTACAAGTACAAGACATTTTCACCAGTATTAAAACTTTTTCCAGACATGCAAATATTTGAATGTACAAGTACAAAAATTTTTCGCAAGCACAAAGCTTTTCCACGCATTCAAACGTTAAATACAAAAGTATTGTACTGTACAAGTACAAGTACAAGACATTTTCACTAGTAATAAAACTTTTTCAGACATGCAAACATTTGAATGTACAAGTACAAAACATTTTCGCAAGCACAACGCTTTTCCACACATTCAAACGTTAAGTACAAAAGTATTGTACTTGTACATACAAATGTTTTGTACGTTTTAAATATTTGAATGTACAAGCGCAACACATTTCCACAAGCACAAAGATTTTACACACATTCAAATATTAATTTTAATTAATTCAAAAGTATTGTACTTGTATATTCAAATGTTTGAATGTCTGGACACGTTTTGTGCTAGCACATTCAAATGTTTGACTGTGTGGAATGAAACTGTACATTCAAAAGTTTGAATGCTAGCAAAAGTTTATTGCATGTACACTCAAAAGTTTGAATGTGTGCAAAAGTTTTGTTCTTGTATATTCAAATGTTTTTTACTTTTTAAATACTTGAATCTACAAGTACAAGACATTTTCACCAGTATTAAAACTTTTTCCAGACATGCAAATATTTGAATGTACAAGTACAAAAATTTTCGCAAGCACAAAGCTTTTCCACGCATTCAAACGTTAAATACAAAAGTATTGTACTGTACAAGTACAAGTACAAGACATTTTCACTAGTAATAAAACTTTTCAGACATGCAAACATTGGAATGTACAAGTACAAAACATTTTCGCAAGCACAACGCTTTTCCACACATTCAAACGTTAAGTACAAAAGTATTGTACTTGTACATACAAATGTTTTGTACGTTTTAAATATTTGAATGTACAAGTACAACACATTTCCACAAGCACAAAGCTTTTACACACATTCAAATATTAATTTTAATTAATTCAAAAGTCTTGTACTTGTATATTCAAATGTTTGAATGTCTGGAAACGTTTTGTGCTCCTAAATTCAAATGTTTTGTGCTAGTACATTCAAAAGTTTGAATGCTAGCAAAAGTTTTGTGCATGTACACTCAAAAGTTTGAATGTGTGCAAAAGTTTTGTGCTTGTATATTCAAATGTTTTGTACGTTTTAAATATTTGAATGTACAAGTACAACACATTTTCACAAGCACAAAGCTTTTACACACATTCAGATATTAATTTCAAAAGTATTGTACTTGTACATTCAAATGTTTGAATGTCTGGAAACGTTTTGTGCTCCTAAATTCAAATGTTTTGTGCTAGCACATTCAAATGTTTGACTGTGTGGAAAGAAACTGTACATTCAAAAGTTTGAATGCTAGCAAAAGTTTTTTGCATGTACACTCAAAAGTTTGAATGTGTGCAAAAGTTTTGTTCTTGTATATTCAAATGTTTTTTTACTTTTTAAGTATTTGAATGTTCAAGTACAAATACAAGACATTTTACAAGACATTTTAACTAGTTAAAAACCTTTTTCAGACATGCAAACATTTGAATGTACAAGTTCAATACATTTGAAAGTACAAACACAAAATTTTTCCACACATTCAAACGTTAAGTATAAAAGTATTGTACTTGAACATTCAATGTTTTGTACATTTTAAATATTTGAACGTACAAGTACAACACATTTTCACAAGCACAAAGCTTTTACACACATTCAAATATTAATTTCAAAAGTATTGTACTTGTGCATTCAAATGTTTGAATGTGTGGAAAGAAATTGTACTTGTACATTCAAAAGTTTGAATCTGTGCAAAAGTTTTGTGCTTGTATATTCAAATGTTTTTTACTTTTTAAGTATTTGAATGTACAAATACAAGACATTTTAACTAGTTAAAAACCTTTTCCACACATTCAAACTTTTGAATGTACAAGTTCAAGAAATTTGAAAGTACAAAGACAAAACCTTTCAACGCATTGAAACGTTAAGTACAAAAGTATTGTACATTCAAATGTATTGTTCTTCTACATTCAAATGTAAGAATGTGAGGAAAGGTTTTATATTTGTGAAAATGTTTTGTACTCCTACATTCAAATGTTAAACTGTGCGGAAAAAATAACTGAACAAATAGATTTAATTTTGCTACACATCTACAGTATCTGTTATGGGTGAAAATAATTCACAGAGAACTCAATTATAAATCCCAAGTTTACAGATACAGACCGATTCTACAAGCACAACCAATGGGGATGCTCGGATTAACATTTAATTTCACTATCCAATCAGGAATATAATTTCATCATGTAATTACGGATCCAGGGGGGCGGGCCTGTCTTGACAAGAGTCTGTGACTTCCCATTGGTTATTCAGTAGAATGTTTTAAACGTGGGACAAAAGTACTTGTAACTGTAAGTTTGTTTTGACCTGTAAACTTGGGATTTACAATTAAATTCTCTGTGAATGGATTTCACCCATAACAGATACTGTAGATGTGTAACAAAAATTAAATATGTTTTCAGATATTTACAAAACTTTTCCACACATTCAAGCATTTCAATGTACAACTACAAAACATTTTCACACATTCAAGCATTTGAATGTACAAATACAAAACATTTCCAAAACTACAAAACTCTCTCACACAGCTACAATACATTTAGGACTATATTTCTTCCATACAGAAACGGAAATGAGTCAATACACTTACCGCAGCACCGCAGCACGTCCAACCACATTTACAGATGTTTCACAGTCCAGAGATGCAGGTCCAACACAGCCTCATCTGAAAGTATTTCCTCGGACACATTTGTCTGTCCTCTCAGTTATTTCGTGAAATCTGTAAAAATAAAAGTCTGCTTTTTAGATAGCTCTAATGTAATATGTCAGTTTTCCATCAGTGTATCAGTTAAATCAGTTCACTTAGATCAGTCTGACTCACTTCTCCAGAAAGCTTCTTCCTGTCAACAGCTAGGTCTAGAAAAATAATCAGGAACTTGATCCTGCTGTTTCATGATCATAAACTGCAACACAGATTCGGTACAGGACAGTTTGACAGCTCACAGAAACACCATATTATACAACGTAATATAAATAATGAACGGTGCACCTTTACCTTTACAGTAACTCACTTCTGCTTTGTAGCGATGTTGCTCTTCTTCAAAGAAAGAGGAGGGCCTCGTTTCTTGGACTTCCTCAAAAATGTGTGGGTGTCCATGTTTAAGAGAGTTATTTCAAGTTGAAAGTTTTGAATAAACAGGTTTGTTGAACACAGTGAAAAAGTGAACAACTGTGTCTTTTCAGAGGGTTTAGCTAAACTTTTGGGTACCAAATGAGGGAGAATCCACAAACTCACCTCAAATTCATATTGCACGGAATGTAGAACTATGTGACATCAACACCATCATAATGTTGAAGGTTCCGCCACAGAACACAGCAAAGCAAAGCTTGGAACTAATATGCAAATGAGGGAATCAACAACCAAAATTAGTTTAGTGTTAGCTTTCATTATGTACCTTGTATTTTCATCACAAATGCATCTCTCACAGGAATTTAAGAGTCTACATCTTTCATACCTCTAACAGTCAAGTGCCTGCTGATTACAGACAAATTTTATATTACCATTTAGAAATCTTTCCTGGAATATATTTATATTTGCGATTCTGCAGAGAGTTTCTGCAGAGATATTGTTGATAACTGCCAAACAAACATTCCCCTCCCCTCACAGCTCCTAACTTTGGGGCTAACCTCCTTCACTCTTTATTCAACAGTTGGCAGCAACACACGGGAGCTCGTCTTTAGTCCACTGCAGTCAAGCCAGCCTCCACTTGACTTGACTGCAGTTTTAGTCTTTAGAAGCTGCAGTCTTGATTCATCCGGCCTCTGTAACTTCTACTGAATATTTACTGCTGAACAAGCCTTATTTCTCTCTATTCACTGGGACACCCGTGTACGTTACACACATGCTCCGTCTATTCCTCCTCTACCGCACACACACTGACCGCTACGGCAAAGCTAACACAGCTAACCAGCTGGGATCATCACAAACATGACAACAGACAGACCAAATTGTAATATACTGAACCTGTGTTTATGTGGAATAGCAAAGCATCGGTTTTCATTCCTTTCTAATCTCGTAGATTTATCCAGCATTTAAACCCCTCACAGATGTTAACACAGGTCTTCCCCTCGCCTGATCATATAACTTGTCTCACAATTCCTCAGACCTTTCCCTCTGTGGCTGTTTCTCAGTCATCCTCACAGCTAGAGTCCCCTAAGAAGTCCAGCATGTTCGAATGTACCGCTGTTTGTTTACTTTCTCTCTCCGACTGCTTCGAGCGCTCCGAGCAGCTTTGTTTGTGCTGCAGTATCGGAGGCTGCAGTTTCAGGACCGCAATCCTAGGACCGGAACTGCATTTCTAGGACCCTTGTTTACTATGATACTGCCAGCTAGCTAGCTAGCTATGTTACTATTGACAGCCCCCCCGAAGCCAGTTACCCTACCACAACCATCACCGAGTGTGTGTCTAAACTTAAGTTATTTAGTTATTTACTTTAGTAATTTTAGTTTTTTAAGATTTCACTAGAAAAGATGGATATAGAGCCACAGACAGAGGAGGGACGTTGGAATTTATTGGGAGATGGACTAATGCGTTCATCACTTGATGAGATGACAATGACAAAATTGAAGAATAATGCCAGCCTTATCTTTTAATCAAATCACATGTATTTTTCAACAGTTCTGCATTACCGCAATGTAACATGTACAAACTTAATATTAACTGTTTGATTACACAACTCAAGTAATTTTAACACCCTTTGGAAATGATCAGAAACCAATGGCCATAACCTTCGCTTGAAATTCTTTGACATACATTTCAAGTTATAGAGGTGGCAAAACATACTAGTATGGTTGTTCTAGCAGTAAAATTTAGTTAACTTTAGTTTTAGTTTAGTTTAGTTTTAGGTATATGTCTCTCGGTTAGTCCATCACTAGAATGATTTTCACTACATGTGACAATAAAGTATACCTTACCTTACCTTGTGTGTGTGTGTGTGAGAGAGAGAGACACACACACTTGTGCCCTCTCTCTCCTTATGTGTATTTGTGCATCAACATTGAAATATCTATAAATATATATTTAAGAAATCTATTTTATAGCATTATTTGATATTATTCTTAGCAGCAGTAGTATATGTTGTTGCTTTAAAATAACATATATTGTGTTCAATGGAAAATAGTTGATTTTTTTTTACCCAGACATTTAAAATATCACATTTTGGAGCTATAATCGCAATACTGTGATACCGTGATACCATAAAAGGGAAAATAAGTATTGCATGTGAACTATGGGGCTGCCATTGAATCATGTTGATTTTGACTGGTGGCTGAGATTGCCAGTCCTTGATTGTGAACAGATAACATCCTGTTGTTGAATTTTTCCTCTCCCTCGGTCCTTGCCGTATTCTACCCATTGCTCCATCGACCTGGTCTATATTTGTGTAGGAGTCAGAAAGTGAGATACAGAGAGGTGGAGAGGGAGCGGATTTGCTAGTGAGCATCTTAATCAAAGCTGTCACGCACCATGTATACCAGTCACATTGTGGCTTCATTCTAGGGGCTGCTGCGACTCAGGTCATCCATCTCATTCTCTTTAACTTGCTTATTCCTGCTTTCTTCTGGCTGAGATCAGTCTGTTTTCTCACCTCTAATGAGTCCCCTTCTGAATGCTTGTTTTTCTACAACAATGCCTGAATTTCCATGGCATAGCGCTGATGGACATGAAAAGCTGGAAGCTAAATTCAAGGCTGGGAGCAGGGAGGGATGAATGTTTTTGTCTATTAGTACAGCATTATGAGACTTTTAATGTTCCAACAAGACGACAAATGTTGGCTACAAAATGTGATCAGCATCCCTTCCAGCCTGAATTCCATCAGAGGAGATAATTAGCAGAGGAGTGCGGCTTAGCTTTTCTGAGGGTTTTTGGAGACATCTGATGCAAAAGGAAAAGAGCAGGTTATTGGAAGTTAAGCCATGTTGTCCAGTGCCCTGGTAGACAACCAGTGTTAGCGGTGAAAAATGTAGATGGCAGTATCTGGGCTTTTACAGGCTACAACGAAGGTTTCTGTTTTTTTCAGAAAGAAAAGAGAGCAAAGAAGAAAGAAGAGAAGAAATCATTTGCAGTAGCTTCACAGCAGGTTTTTGTTATAATTCCGGGTTCATTATGAGCTTGTAGAGAAGCTGGACATGAGAAGGAGAAACTTGAACCAAAGAGGAGATGTGTTTTATTTGTACTTTCTCATCGAAAAGTGTTGGGGAAACATTGTCACAGTGGAATGTCTTCATTCATCTATGAATCAGCTCCATAGGCTCTTGTCAAGCAGCGTAATGGAGGCTAAAATAATATTATGGAGGCTTTCTTTTTTACATTTCCAGTATGGTCCCATCATGTGCAAGAACCATCCACCGAAACCAACGCTCTGCTATACCTCCATTCATCCACGGTGGTTGATTTTAATAGTTGTATGCACCATGTTTTACTCTGGAGGAATGCTTTTTATTTTTTTCTTAATTTTCATTTTCTAAACACTCACCTTAAAATGAGTGCACCCACAGTCTGCCTTAACTATAGTTAATCTGTATGCAGCTTTCACAGTAAGGCGGGTTTTTTTTACTGCTGTTATCTATAATTGCAGAAAAGACATAATTACCTTTTGTCAAGTTTGGCTCAGACGACAGACAAATACACTTGCACTTATTTTTGAGGACACAAGGGTGGGAGTTTTGCAAATATTTTATTAAAACAGAAAATGTGTTATTCTAGGTTACTACAAATACCTGGGGACAAAGGTACTGACAATTGTGACATACTGTGGAAGTATGTTGCTACAGTATTATGGGGTCATTTGTACATTTTGTCAATCTTTTTAACTTTATTTTGTAGAGTTTGCTTACAGCACATGTAAAAGCTTTTTGCCATTGAACCACTATTACTTGGTGCGCTTAATAAAGACAGCAACCTATTTAAATTTGCCCACTTAAATTACACAGTCTCCTTTCCCCTTGTAAACTGATTTAAAGGGTCAGTTCAGCCACATTACACTACATTATGTGCTTCGAGTGGTATCAAAAAGATAGCTTTGGTTGAATTTCCTCAGGTTTTGAGATATCTCTCTCTGAGAATTATGCCTCCACCCCAGTACTCCAGCACTCCAAGTCACCGTGCTCCCACAAACATTAAGCTGAAAACATGACTCTGACATATTCATATTATCACATATAATAAAGTTATTATTATAAACACATTAGCAAACAGATGCCTAGTTGTACAACCAGCAGACACAGAGAGACATTATCATTCATCTGGTATTGTGTTTCTGGCCTCCTATGAGAATATAAGTCCAGAATATAGTCCTTTTAGCTCTGGTTTGAAGAAATATGTGACACAGATGTTCACCAGCTGGACAGTAACTTTGTCTATCTGCTGTTTGGTGCAGTGCAGTTAGTGTACATGTGTTTATCAGAGTTTTTTCACTGAAAACCAGCTGCCTACTGCTAGAAATATGTTTTATTTACTTCTTTTGGGGGGAAAACAAAGAACATGAGAGCTGTTAGATGAACAAACACAAGTTGCAGGCCTTAAAACAAAAACAGTTAACTGAAAGAGGCTAAGGACTGCTGAGTTGGGTGATCATTTTCTGTAGATTTGTTGCAACAAAACAAAATCTTTTACATAGTCATTTGATCCATTAATGAAATAAAACAATTTTATGTAGCTTTAATCTTTTCATTTTACATCTTTTTCACTTTGGTCAATCATGCCCCCCCCCCCCGGAATAACCTTTTTAATGAACTAGCTACTGCTCCATCCCTCTATGTCCATTGCAAATCCACAAAGTAATCTGTCAGCCATTATGCTCTGCTGTGCAAATTGTATGTAGTATTATCTTCAGTACTATCTATTTGTTTAATTCTTATCCTGATCCTCCTCTCTGCTGCTGCAAGAAGCCCAGTTTCCCCATGGGGACCATTAAGGTTTCATCTAATCACCTAATCTAATAATGCTGAAAAGTTCAAGTGTTCTACAAATTGCAAGCAAACTATTGCTTTAAGCTGAACGTCATCCATCCGGAACAATGATGTTGCTCGTGATAGAGTCGTCGAGATGTCTGTCATTTGGATACTCTTCCCAGAGGAGCCACTTTCTGCTTTCATTATGTTGATTTAGCCCTGCTCCTTATGCCGTCTCTCCATTTCCGAATGCTTTGCTCACAAGGCAGCAAGCTGCATCGAAAACAAAAGAAATATGAGCAGTGGATGAATTAAATATATCGAAAACAATTACAGTCAGCAAAATGTCAGGCCAGGATAAGCCTGCCAAATAACCTGCAAAACAATGTCTTGTTCTGCTTATTATTCATAATGAAGTGTGTATGTGGACACAGAAACATACAAGTAGGCGGGATAAATTAACCCACACACGCTAGTGTTTGTACTGGTGCTGTGTGTTAGACACTGATAAAACATATGGATGTTTCCGGTTTACTCTGGTTTTATTTTAATAGTTTTGGTTATCCTTTCTTTCCGCAGTGTTGGGCAAGTTACTTGTAAACAATTACTCTGAATTACTCACCTATTATTAAATATTTACATTCCTTTACTCATCATTAATAACAAAAGTACTTACATCAC